CTGGCCCCTTTTTTCTGTTTTCGCACCCGGCCTGTTTTGCGCTTATAGAATGTGCAAAGATCAGCAACTTTGTCCTCTCATACCTACCTTCGTACACTTTCTAGTTCACTACATCATTACAAAGAGAAGGGACAAAACTTAAGGGGGAGAGAGGGACTACAGCTGACACGTCGAGAAATCTCAAAATAGGCAGTTTGGATCCAGCATGTGGAGAAGATCACACAGGTTGTGGCGAACACATTAAATATGCAGTAATTTACAGTAATTACCTTTAGATCGACTAGTAGCCACAAATTGCACTATTCGTTATTTTGTGTGCTTCTAGACTTCTTATGCATGAATTACGTGGTCATTAATCGATAACAAGCTATCAGCAGTATACTTAGGGTTTCTTTTGCCATAATGGGTAACCTTTAAACTTTTTGAATTACTCTTGACAGTTTCCTTTAATTCGTTTAATTTTAGCACTATTATTTTTTTTTTAATTAGTATTTTAATTATCGAAATAATTGCCGCTACACAGGAGCTTTTAGGAAAAAGCAACAAATTAAAAGCAATAGAATCTTAGAATTATTTTTTCAATTGAAGAAAGTTAATAAGACAACTAATTCCACTAGCTGGAGCCTGCTTAGTTTAACTCGACGTCAAGAAAAAAGTCAGTTTGAATTAAGTAGAACGCAGCGTATACCTGCCATAGTTCAACTTTTTCACGCTCATCTGACGTTAAGCGACTTTTATATTCATCCAGTTTTGTTCTGTATTCCTTGAATTCTTTCTCGCTCTTTAATGTGTCCAGTTCGGCTATTTCATTTTCGTTAGCCACCTAGAAGTTTATTTTTATCCCAACTCTGACGTTCGGAGTTTTATTCATACTATAGAAATAGGCACAAGGAAGTTGTCAGTAGCGACGACTGTTTAATTTATGTAAACGGCTTAGTGGCAATATAACAGGCGGCCTGAAAAAACAGCCACTCGACAAAGTAGCTGTTTAACAGAAGGAATGATTCCTGCACTACGGCTTAACATGCGGAATCATATTAGTGTGTTTTATCCTTTTCCTGCATGCAGGGAGACGGCTTCGGCTGGGACGAAAATGCTGCATCAAAGGGCTGATAAACCTTCAGTGTGCATGGTTGTCAATTTTGCATGAAGCTCGGTCGTTTTTCCAGTGAACGGGCGTTCATCGAAAAAATGAAAATCCTCTCCCAGCGTCCAGTTCATTTACATATTCAGATTTTTATGCGTTTTCGCATATATGCAAATGCGAAAGCTAGTCCAAGCTAGCGATTTTCGCGCCAGGACCTCTCATGGGACTGTACGCAGGAATCACGTACACCCGGGGGCTGAATATGAAATCTTTGAGTTATATGTGGACGAGGAACATAACCTCAAAATTTCAGCTTTCTATCTTTTCTTGTTTCCGAGTCATCAATTTTCCCGCCAAAACTTTCACGCGCTCATACCCGAGGCCTAGGCGTGCGTGCGGATTGGTACCGCGGTCCTGGGGCATCCAGCTTGCTTCGATGCCAAAACTTTCCGAGCAGGTTCCCCGGTCAAGTGCCACCCCAGGGCCGCGGTACCAATCCGCACGCACGCCTAGG